GATACGGGCGGGGATTATCTCAACATCTTCCATGGGAATACTCCTGCTTTTGAGGCCTTGCAGAGACTTGATGTCCAACAATTTCGGGCTGAGTGGCTTCTGCGCAAGGGCCCCGACAGCTTGGGGCCCGATGACCCTGGGGAGCTTGCGACCGGGGACCACGCGCGTGAACTTCTTGCCGCTGATGGGCTCGTGTGTGAACGTCGGTTTGTTTCTCGGCGGGCTTTATTAGTGCGTCAGGGGCAGGCCTCTGGAGGCTAACATGGATTGCAGTCGTTGATATCTAAGGTGGCGGTTGCTAATCAGTGTGTGGCTTGTTCGTCTACGTTTCGGTCTAGGGGTGCAGCAGTGCGGCGCCTTGCGAACGCGTGCAGATATGGTCGTTGCAGAGTTGATGCGTCGCAGTAGGATCCACCGATACATGGCCCTGAAGTCAGAGTGTGCCCCATGTGTCTTGAGCCATTTTCATCTCTCGAGCTCCTACAGCGGCATATTGTTACCCATCTCCCCCTACGTCTTCCTGAATTTGTTTGGCATGCACACGGCGGCGCCTGCAGCGACTTCGCCCGCGCCGAGCGCCCCCGAGCAAGGCCGGGGGCGCCAGGCCGCCGGCGCCGGAAGCCTGCCCAAGCGCGCCCTCGCCAAGAAGCCGTCCAACAAGTTGGTCGAGAAGGAAGAGATGGAGTCACTGGAGTCAACGGACATGGCAACTATCCAGAAGGCTGTGCCGATCCCCATGAAAGTGCCTCTCAACGTTACCATGAGAACCCGCCGGCAAGAAGCCATCACCCTCGCCACGCTGCTGATGGACGAAAGCGCCGCGCCCGTGCAGAAGTGGAAGGCCAGAGTTCGCGCGCGGGCGGAGAACGCCCAAGAGCTTCGCGCGCGCGGCAGGGAGTCGGAGGTCGAGAAGACAGGAAGGCTTTCCTTGGCAGCGCTGGTAGGCCTCGCGGAAGGAGGTCACGAGGCAGGGGCAAGCGTCGGCGCCAGGAACAAGCAGCGCTTCACGGAGTGGCACACCGAGATCAAGGAGCTCCCCTTGGACGCTGTCATGGAGAAGTTTCCCTTCATCAAGATCCAGAGGCGCACAAGGAGGGCCAGGTCAAAGTCTTGCTCACGAACGAACCTTCTCTCATCGTGTTGATATGTTGCTTAGAGCAGCTGGGGGCCACCAAGAAGGTCGGGGCCGCGCCGATGAACAATCTCGAGCGTATCCTCCAGACATTCCTTTCGGACGAGTTTTAAATGTTCATGGTGGGCGATTCGATTCACGCGATGGTCACTTCAGAGATGGTGGTTCAGCCTCTTTGCCTTTCAATGGTGTGACGTCTTGTGACGATGGGATGCACCAGTCTGCTTTACCGAATCTGTCTGGGGATGATCAGTATTGCGACACATCTATGCGATGTTCTCCTCCTTCTCCTATTGGTGCTGCTTCGACGGGAGCAAGAAGTACGTCTACTCCTTTGGTGAAGGGTTGGGATGAGCAGTAGGATATTCCTGAAGATCGGATGGCTATAGGTGGGTCGCGTGGTGCGACGTCCAGTGGCAAAGGGGTGCACCAATCTGGTCTACCGAAGTCTTGGGACAGTGCTCGTTCGACTAGGATTCGATGTTCTCCTCATCCTGCGTGCGCTGCTTCGACGGGAGCCTGTACGTCTACTCCTCTATTGGTGATTGGCTGTGCTGAGCAATTCGATTCACGGGATGATCTGCAGATTGCTGGTGGTTCCAGTTTACCATTCAATGCAGGTGGTGCGACGTCCGATGCCTGTGGGTGATCGTATTGCGACCACTGCTATGCGATGTGCTACTTCTCCTACTTCTTCTGAGGCTCCGTTGGCTGCCGCCGAGGCTGCTGTCCCTCCGCCCCCTCCTCCGATCCTCCCCTCCGCCTCGGGGCCGTTGAAACGTGCCCGCACTCAGGCTGAAACGGTCCGTGTTGTTCGGAGTTTTGGTTTCTGTGATAGCCTTGCGGGGTCCGCGGCCCGTCTCCTGGGGTTTAAAACTTCGGTTTTTTCGTGTGGAAACCGGGGGACTTAAAGGCTCTGTGAGTTGTGAGCGGGCTGGAGGTCCGAAATTCGCGGCATATATGTCGTTCCTAGGGCGCTGTTGAGGTGTTCGGATATAGCCCATGCCCCCAGAGGTGTCGGTCGGTCCTCCTCCTCCCCCTCCTCCTCCCCCTCCTCCTCCTCCTCCTCCTCCTTTTCCTCCTCCTCTTTTTTTGCATGCGCTATGCTCGATGCGACGCAGTGAGATGATAAAACAGTACTCGGCCCCCGCTTTACAGGAACACTCGGCCGACAAGTCTTCCGTCAGCCTTTACAGCGGCCCCCCCGCTTTTAGGGTGTTTTAGCCGGGTTTGTGCGCAGAGTGGCGCGCCAGCGCGTCAATTTCATCTAACGCAGCGACTTCCTCTCCATGCAAAGGTGCACAATTGGTCAACACCCATTCACCGCACTGGTTGGCCTGTCTTTTCAGCCTGCCACGCCTCAGGGCACGCATCCGGGTGAGGTAAGACTTCCCTGACACGGGCAACCCTCTCATAGAACAGTCTGAGGTCCTTGCCGGCCTGCTGTGCCCACGGGAGCACCGGCCGTCCATCTTTGTCCCGAAGCTACAGCATGGCCTTCAACGGAAGCGAGGACGACCTTTCCAATCTGCCCAAGTACTTGAGTCTGCGTTTTACAAGTTCGCAATCGATCGAAGGAATGCTGAACTCAATGCGCACTTGTAAATCGGACCTCTCGTTTGCGTCGAACCGGACAGCATCGACGATCCGTCTGTGAACACGCATGTACGTAGCATTTATGACCTTCAGTTCATGCGCGCTGAAACACCGCAAATGCGCATTGAACAAGAGCCTCGAAAATTCCAGAATTTCACGAAGCGAACATTTCACTACCATGTCAAAATCCTTCCACCCGAACGCGCGTCTCCTCCTCCTCCTCCCCCTTCTCCTCCTCCTCCTCCTCCTTCTCCTCCTCCTCCTCCTCCTTCCCCTCCGCCTCCCCCTCCTCTTCCTCTTCCTCCTTCTCCCCCTCCTCCGCCCCGCGGAGGAGGAGGAGGGAGAGGCCTTAGATCCTACAGGGAGGCTGGATAAAGTGACTGGGGCCAGCCCTTCCACTCTTTCCACCCCTGGCCAGTGCTCTTTAATTCTTCCAGCCCTGGCGACCGCATTCCCAACCTCTTCGTGCTCGTCGCAGCCCCTGCTGCTTTTTTCCGACCCTGGCCACTTGCACGTTGACAGAAGTCCCAACTTCCACTTTTTCTAGCCTCCCTGCAGGCCTCCCAGATGGGGTCGGAGCAAATGGGGTCGGAGGATCGCGCCGCATCGCCGATGCATCGGCGATGCGGCTCGATGTGGAGCCCGATTTGCTCCGCGCTGGCGTCGCCGATGCACCGACGATGTCGCCCAAGCATCGCCGATGCATCGGCAATGCAACGGCGATGTGGTGCAATCTTCCGACCCCCTCAACTCGGACCCCATTTAGGATGAAGTCGGGCGTGTCCTTTTACAGGAGGAATATTCAGAAATAGTAAAACAATAGTCTGGGGACGATTGTTTGACCATGTCCAGAATATGTTTGAAAATTTGTTGGTGTATCTTTAATGGTTCGTCCAAAATCCACCTGGAGGGGGACAGGCCCGACTTAAATTTAGGAGGCCTCTGCAGCCCCCCAGCATCCTCATCTCCTCCTCACGGTTTTCAGGTGCCTCGCATTGCCTTGTACCCAATCAAGCCAGGTTCTCGAGGCGACGGCCTCACCCACGTGAGCGTTTTCGTATTCATTGTTTTGCCGATCGGCGCGGGCCCTCGCCCCCCCCCCCCCTTGGAGTAGATCTCGGCTGCTTTTGGCGCCCGTTTCGAGCAGGTTGAGTCTCCCCTCGTAGGACGCGCTGTTGCAAACAGTTGCACTACGCAGAGGTCCGGAGCCAGCCCCCCCCCTCCCCCCCTTGCCGCCCACTGTCGAAACGCCGAATAAAAAAAAAAGAATCGCTCACCACCTGGTCTGAGCTGGGCCCCGACGCTGTCCGCCACGGTGGTCGCATCGCATCGCAGGGTCCTCATGCTGGCGGCGCGCACACGGAGATGCCGCCCCCCTCGCGCTCGCCGCCAGCGGCGCAACTTGCCGTTGGCCTTCCCCCAGCACGGCAGTATGGGAATTCACTGGCCACGGACTGCTGACGTGGGCTGAGCTACAGGGGAACGAACGATGACATAAACCCAAAAACTCGGAGGTCCGCGCGGACCTCCGAGCTTCTGTTGTTTATGTAGTTGCTCGTCGTTTCCCTGGAGCCAGGCCCAGTCGTTTGCCCGCGCTGCTGGGTTTTCCGACGTGCGCGCCCCCGAGAAATCGAAGAAGAAACCAACATACACACACGCGCCGGTCGCTGAAAGTAGGTATTGTTGGATCCCCCAAACCCAATCTACTTCAAGCGCCTTCCTGCTTCAATAATCGGCATGGTTTTGCTGTTGTTTGTTCTTCTTTGGGCTGGCCCGAACCCAATCTACTCTATCCGTCTTCCGACTTCATGTTTCTACCTACTTCTTCCGACCGGCGTGTACGGTTTTGGAAGTCTGGCGCGGATTCTTCGCATCTGCGCCTGCTTTCTTTTTGCACGCCTGCGCTGCTGGAAGCAGGCGCGCTGCCCTGCCCCCCTCCTGCCGCGCGCCTCCCGCTGCTGGGCGAGGCCCCTCTCCCAACGCTGATTCAAGCAAGCCCCCTTGGTGCTAGACTTGAGTCGGGCCTGCCCCTGTACAGGGGGGATATTCAAACATAGTCCAAAAATAGTCTGGGGACTATTTTTTGACCATTTTTGGGCACTTGGGGGGTATTATTTGACCATTCTGTGACAGGTCCGACTTGATGCCAGCCGCGCCCCTCCGCTGTGCCCCACCCCGCTGCTGGACGAAGCCCCTCCCCCAACGCTGATTCAAGCAGGCCCCCTTGTGCCAGCCGCGCCCCTCCGCCGCGCCCCCCCCCGCCTGCGGGAAGGCCATGCTGCCGCAGCAGACGCCGCTGCCCAACATGCGGGACCTCGCGCAGGCGCTGGCCGCGCAGGCCATCGAGGCGCCGTCGCCGTCGTCGAAGGTCCAGGATCGTGTGTTTGGATCGACACCGTCGTCGTCGTCGTCGTCGTCGTCGTCGTCGTCGTCGTCGTCGTCGTTGCCTTCGTCGTCGTCGTCGTCGAGGATGGAGGATCTCGTCAGGCTCCCTCGCGCCCACGGCGGGATCCGCTGCGAGAAAGTCTGGCCAGAATGCGCCCCGGGAGCGGCGCCGCGTCGTCGGCGGCGTCGTCCTCGCTGCCTCGCCTCTCTGCGTCGCCTGGGGATGGGGGCGGGGCAGGCGGCGAGCAGCAGGGGAGGGTGGACGCGGGCCCAGAGCGACGGTTCTGAGAAGGATGAGAGGGCGAGGATGAAGAAGAGGGCGTCGACGACGACGACGACGACGACGATGGCGTGGTCAAAGGAGAGATGAGGAGGAGGAGGAGGAGGAGGAGGAGGAGGAGGAGGAGGTGAAGGAGGAGGAGGAGGAGGAGGGTCCTGAACCCTAAGTCCCCTCCGCCTCCTCATCTCTGTCTCCTTCAGGGATGCGTAGGCTGCCCTGCAGGGCTGTCGGCAACCCGCGTCTCGCCCCTCGGAGTGCCCGGAAGTTGCCGCTCGGCAGCGGCAGCAGTTGTGGTGGTAACCGTGCGAATCCAGATCTCAGCGGGCCCGCTCCGATCCATCCCCTCCTCCTCCTCCTACTTCCCCTCCTCATCTCGGCGGCGCGCCCAGGGGGGAAGGCACATGGGGCGGGCCACGTCAGAAGGCTCAGGAGGCCTCCGACCGCCTGAGTTCTCTGGAGGCAGAGACGGCTTCTCAGAAAGCTGGAGGGCTTCTGCGGAGGCGCCGCCAGCGGGCTCCAGCGCCGATGCAAGGCATCCGCGCGGACCTCCGAGAGTTCCTGTTTACGTCACTGCTTGTTCCTCGATTCTGAGCAGGCATGGGTTCAGTCGGGCGGGTTGAGTCTGGCATGTCCCTCTAGAGGAGGACTCATCAGGAATAGACCAAAAGTGCTCTGGGGAAGATGTGTCGTGCGCTTCTGGCTGTTTGTGGTCATGGCTTGAGGCTTCTTGCTGCGCATTGTAGGAGGACGTGCCCGGGGAGCGGGCTCGGCTCCTGAGCCAAAGTCCTCGGAGGCGAGGCGCTCCGCCCAGGGCCCCCAGAGGTCTGGACCCCTTCCCTGGGGACGGGTTTTGCATGCTGCGTCGCTCGTTGACGCTCCCGACAGGGGAACTGACAATGACATAAGCCTGAAAACTCAGAGGTCCGCGCGGATGCCTCGCATCGGCGCCAGACCCCCCTTAGCGGCGCCTCCGGCGCCGCCCCTGGCGCGCTGCGCGCGCCAGGGAGGGAGGGGGGGTCCAGCGCCGATCCGCGACATCCGCGCAGATCTCGGAGGTTTATATTTCTGTCATGTTTCGTTGCCCTACCCGATGCCCACGCAATGAGGGCCCCTGGAGGCCGAAACTGGCGAGAAACCCTCCGTCGTGATGTTTGCTTGGTCGCATCGCGAGGAGGAGGTCTGGGCCCTCCCTCCTGCCAGGCCGCCTCTCGCGCGCGACCCGCGCGTGCGCGCCGCCGCCCCTCTGCGACGATGCGCCTCCGCGGGTGCGCCTCCGCGGGGAGCCGCCCCTGGGTGCGCGGCCGGGCGGAGAGGTGCCGTCCACCCTGCCGCCGGCGCCGGCCCAGCAGAAGGCCGCCTCCGAGCGGGCGGGCGTGAGCGTCGCGCAGAGGAGCTGCTCCGCCTCCTCCTCCTCCTCCTCCTCCACCTATCCTCCTCCTCCCTCCTCCTCCTCCTCCTCATCCCTCCTCCTCTCCCCCCTCCTCCTCCTCCTCCTCCTCCTCCTCCTCCTCCTCCTCCTCCTCCTCCTCTCTCCTCCTCTCTCCTCCCTCCTCCTCTCTCCTCCTCCTCCTCCTCCTCCTCCTCCTCCTCCTCCTCCTCCTCCTCCTCCCTCCTCGGTCGCGGGGCGCCCTGTTCGCATGGTAAAAAAAGCTTCGCGCAGAGGAGCTCCAGCGCCTCGCGGGGCTCAGGGGCGGCCTCACCGACCCCCAGCAAGCCCCCCCCCCCTCGAAGAAGAAAAACCGCCGTAAACATAAAGTTTTGGCGCTCCGCGCGGATTTCTCAGATCCGCGCTGGGCCCCCCAAAGGCGCCTCTGGCGCCGCCCTTGGCGCGCTCCGCGCGCCAGGGAGGGGGGCTCCAGCGCGGATCCAAGAAATCCGCGCGGAGCGCCAACAGTTTATGTCTATGCAGTTGTTTCTCCTTCCACCTCCAGGACGTCCCCCTCGCCTCGCCCCAAGACGTAGGTCTGCGGCCAGAAGGGAGCTCTCAAGGCGAGGGTGACGTCACGGACAGTGGACGGTTTGTTAGGGGTCGGTTCGGCCGCGCCTCCTGGGGCGGCCGTCGCTTGGTGTCGGCGCAGTCGTCGTTATGTCTGCGAGGGAGGGGTGGAGGATAGGAGAAGGATAAGGCCGTCCGGGGTCTGCTTGTCAATTCTAGCTAGGTTCCCCGACCCCTACAGTCAGTGGACTAACTTGCTAGTGAGAATTTGCCGTTGGCGGCTGGAACGCTCGCGCTCGGTAAAAGCGCATGGCTGGAACCCACGCCGTGCGCGGCTGGAACGCTCGCGCTCGGTAAAAGTGCACGGCTGGAGCCTACGCCGCATGCGGCTGGAACGCTCGCGCTCGGTAGAAGCGCATGGCTTGAACCTACGCCGTGTGCGGCGGGAACGCTCGCGCTGCGTAAAAATGCATGGCTGGAACCCACGCCGTGGGCGGCTGGAACGCTCTCGCTGAGCTGGAGCCCACGCCAGCGGCTGCTGGAACACTTGCGCTGGGTAAGCATTAACCGCATGCCTCAGGAAAACAAATAAAACATCCCCCCTTAAGACGTGAGTGTTGGCTGTCTCTGACCAGTGCAGTTTTGGTCGGCGGGGGGGAGCGGCGGGGCCCATTATCAAGGGGGACCGTACGAAGCGTATATGGAATCTTCTTACCGCATCATCATTCGCAGCATCATCATCACCATCACCATTCACATCAAATACTACTACCAATACTATCACTACTACTAC